CATTTAAAGCAAGGCGAAAATGCCTCTAAGACGCAAGGGGGTTACTGAGAGAGAGAGAGAGAGAGAGAGAGAGAGAGAGAGAGTATGAGAAGACTTTAGTGGGAAGAAATGTGGAAAAGGATGATAAAAGCACAGATTTCAGGAAGACAGAAGATGGCGATAATGCCACTAAGACGCAAGGGGTTACAGGGAGTGAAAGAGAATGAGAAGACTTTAGTGAGGAGAAATGAGGAAAGGACAATAAAGAAACAGGTTTCAGAAAGACAGAAGATGGCAATAAAGCTACTAAGAAGCAAGTTGCTACTGGGAGTAAAATAGAATGAGAAAACTTTAGTGAGGAGAAATGAGGAAATGGACAACAAGGGAACAGGATTCAGGAAGACAAAAGATGGCGATAATGCCACTAAGACGCAAGGGGTTACTGGGTGTGAAAGAGAAAAAGAAGAATTTAGTCAGAAGAGAGGAAAAGGACAATAAATGAACAGGTTTTAGGAAGAGAGAAGATGGCGATAATGCCACTAAGACGCAATGGGTTACTGGGAGAAAGATAATAAAAGCCTTTAGTCAGAAGAGAAGAAAAGGACAATAAAAGAACAGGTTTTAGGAAGACAGAAGATGGCGATAATGCCACTAAGACGCAAGGGTTTACTGGGAGTGAAAGAGAATAAGAAGCCTTTAGTCAGAAGAGAGGAAAAGGACAATAAAAGAACAGGTTTTAGGAAGACAGAAGATGGCGATAATGCCACTAAGACGCAAGGGGTTACTGGGAGTGAAAGAGAATAAGAAGCCTTTAGTCAGAAGAGAAGAAAAGGACAATAAAAGAACAGGTTTTAGGAAGACAGAAGATGGCGATAATGCCACTAAGACGCAAGGGGTTACTGGGAGTGAAAGAGAATAAGAAGCCTTTAGTCAGAAGAGAGGAAAAGGACAATAAATGAACAGGTTTTAGGAAGACAGAAGATGGCGATAATGCTACTAAGACGCAAGGGGTTACTGGGAATGAAAGTGAATGAGAAGACTTTAGTGAGGAGAAATGAGGAAAGGACAATAAAGGAACAGGTTTCAGAAAGACGGAAGATGGCGATAATGCCTCTAAGATGCAAGGGTGTACTGGGAGTGAAAGACTTTAGTGAGTAGAAATGAGGAAAAGGTCAATAAATGAACAGGCTTCAGAAAGACGGAAGATGGCGATAATGCCTCTAAGATGCAAGGGTGTACTCGGAGTGAAAGAAATTAGGGAGAATTTAGTGTGGAGAACCGGGGAAAAGGACAATAAAAGAACAGGTTTCAGAAAGACTGAAGATGACGATAATGCCACTAAGACGCAAGGGGTTACTTGAAGTGAAAGAGATTCGGGAAACATTATGAAAAAGAAGTCAGGAAAAGGAGTATAAAGGAACAGGCTTCAGGACGACAGAAGATGGCGATAATGCCACTAAGACACAAGAAATAGAATGAAAGAGAATGAGAAGACTTCAGTGAGATGAAGTGAGGAAAAGGACAATAAAGAAATAGTTATCAATATGACAGAAGATGACGATAGAAGTTGCATTTACATTTTTTAAGTTTGTAGTGCCACCAACAAGCAAGAAATCGGAATGGAGTTCCACATGTGAGAAGTGAGAGAAAAGGAAATATTAGAGTAGAACGTGCGGTTCCAACTACCAATCCAGTAGCACGCTTAAATTCATCTTGTCGAGGTAGTAAGGAGGAAAGCTCGTCTGAACAGTTGGCCTGAAAAGATTTTAGAGAGAGAGAGAGAGAGAGAGAGAGAGAGAGAGAAACCACGTGACGTTGTTGAGAAAGTTTCTAGACAGGATCGTTTTTATTACAGACCCTTCTTTAAATGTTGTCGGGAATTTGGAGATATTTTGAAGATACCTTGTACACTTTTTCAACGTAGAAAAACAACTAAAATAAAAATAAAAAAGCTTATTTACTAAATTGGCCTTCACCTGAAGAACAGTCTTCTCAGAGCCCCAACAACGTATATATGTCAGGAGCCGTTGTTTCTCGTTAATGTTGCATATAACGCCCACGTTAGCCTCCCTGGTTGGTTTTCCCCCCGTTTTGATCCAGAAGATTCTAATCCGAAGATCACATTTCTTCTTCTGACCCTGTGAATGCCCTTTGCTGACCGTAGGCCTTCCCCAGATTCATGGGGCACAGTGGGCCATCACCCGATCGCGCAAACCCAATGCGTATTTTTAGGAGCGGATATAACAGGCCCGAACAATCATGTCTCAGTATATGGCGTAAGTGGATGTAAGATTTTGAGTTGTGGTTCAATGTAAAACGCGTTTGAATATGATACCGGAGAGCCGTGTTCGAATACCAATCGGATTTATTCCATTCACTTATGCACAAATACTCTAGGGAAAGTTAAGAATTAATCTATTCTTCTCCCCCAGCTATGGTTTAAATAACCGGAGAGGCTGAGGTCGATAGCCTTGGCTGAAAACCAGTCTATGAGAAGGAAAGCTACCAACTCCAACCATTTGCTGCCTTGCAGGTTCTGGCTATTTAGGCAAAAGCTAGAATAAGGTAACTTCAGAAACCAATCCACCACTGGATGACGGCTTTGGATGACAATTCGAAGAGCTGAGTTCAAATTCCAGTCTGGTTCGATACATTCATTTACGCGCAAATACCCTTGGGAAGGGTATGACTCAATTATTCTTACCCCTCAACACATCTATAGGTTGAACAGCAGGACAGTCTGGGGCCTATAGCATTGGTTGACAAACGGCTCTACCTTAGAAAGAAAGGGCAACCTACTGCAGGGAAAATTTGCCTAGTCAGTCACGAATCGAGTGAGACATAATCGCCCAAGTGTGTATCGCGTATGACAACTAACTGACTGATCTGGATAAAAGGATTAAATATCAGGATAGACTGGATTCTGTAGCCTTGGTTGGCAACCAGTCTACTGCACAAAGAAACAGTAACCTACTGCGGGAAAATCTTCTGCCTAGTCGATCATGAATCGAAAGAGACATAATCAACCCAAGCGTGTATCGCGTATGTCAGTTAAGTGAATGATCTGGATGAAAGGATTGAATATCAGGACAGACTGGGTCCTATAGCCTTGGTTGGCAACCAGTCTATCGCAGAAAGAAACGGCAACCTACTTGACGGAAAATGTACCTAGTCAGTCATGAATCGAGTGAGACATAATCGCCCAAGCGTGTATCGCGTGTGGCAATTAACTGACTGATCTGGATAAAAGAATTGAATATTAGGACAGATTGGGTCCTATAGCCTTGGTTGGCAAAGGCTCAATGACTGGATTTAATGCTGTGTTCAATGTCTGTTTTGTATGCTCTGAATTGTAAGCGAATGAAGTAATGAGAGTTCCTTACATTAATAGTATTTTCTGGTTTTTATTGTCCAACAACAGGCTGAGCAAGTATCTTCGTTTTGTCCGCATTCACTTCCATTCCAAAGCGAGAGCAGGCTTCGAAGACGAAAGATGAACAGCGTTGGAGGTTTGTAACAGAGGAGGAAGGTGTTGCATTGTCGTTTGCGTACGAGAGCTCCTTGATGCTGCTTTTCAACGTTCGAGTTTGGGAACTCAGGCGCGCAAGATTAAAGAGTACGGCGTCCTGTTGATAACCCCAAGAGAAGCGTGACGGATCTCATCACCGCCAGGAGAACAGGACAAGATCCAGTACGCAGCTTTTTGTTTCAGGCTTCCAGAGATGGTACGGAGAGTGAATTCTGCGGGCAAATGCGTCCTATCATGACGTCATGGATCGGGGCGACAAAAGCAATGGGGTACAGATAAAATCGCTGATCAGGGTACCTTGTGGGAGGTATCGCGGTAGTCCCAAAAGTCGTTTCTACTGTTCTCGAGCTTTTTGCCTGGAATTGCCTTGCGCAGAACATCGTGCCAGTCGTTCCATGTGAACACCGAAAACCGAATTGAGATTCTACGAGTAGTTTTTCTGCAACATCCACAAGAATTCTGGCTAAAATCTTGCCGGCAAAACATTGCAATGAGATACCGCGATAGTTGTTATATACTAACCGGTCTCCTTTCTTTAAGACGGCGATGACGTTTGTGTTTTTAAAGTCCTCAAGGACGGTCTTGGTGTCCCATATTCACAGCATCAGGACGAACAGCATAATTCTCTGTCCTTATCCCCTATGTAAGAAGAACCTCAAGGGGATATCTAAATGCAGCGAGAATATTCATAGCCTACACTACGGTATTATCCTTGTTTCTGTCTGAATTTTAGTGACAATCATTATTTAAACGCGAAATATTTTCCCTCAACTTTGTAGTTATTATCATAAAGTTTCGGCCGCTGTGGCCTCCGGCCTTCATCACTTGGTATATAAATTCGAACTGAACACTTTCTTTAATCTAAGGTTCCCATGTCTAGGGATATATTTTGTTTGTACCGCTCGAGAAATAAAAAAAAATAATCTGCAACGTTTTCAGTCCTCGTCTGGCATCTCGGCTGTAAATCTTTTCACGGATTTCAGCGCAGTACTAGATTGGCAGTTAGGTTTCATAATCTTCCTGTCGAAATTGCTAGTTATATCCATGTTCTGTGCGACCAGTTTTTTTCTCGCGCAGTTCCCGCTTGTGGAATTCTCTTCGTCTTTCTAGATTTCCTGTCAACTACGATCTTCAAGTATTTTAATGTCACACGGCGTCGTGTTCGAATGATGTTCTTTTATTGTCATCTCTCATTCTTTATAATAAAATTATATAATTTAAAAAAAAAAACATTCAAGCTCAAAGTTTTTTGTATTCTTAAGCGGTCACCCATCTATTTACTGACCAGGTTCGACGTAGCTTAACTTCGGTTATCAAAAGGAGACGGGTGATAAAAAAGTGATGTGCCCATAAGAACATTATATCACTTATAGTACCTGGTATTTCCAAACTCATCTAGGTAATAAGTTCGACGTTGTTTAAATTAAGTGATCTTACAGAAAACGGTATTTCAACGTGGTATGGCTAAGCCATACCAAACGTACATCCAGGTTTACAGCACGTGATATTCCCAAGTGGTCACCCATGTAGGCACTGACCCTGTTCGACGTTGCTTAACTTCGGTGATCCTATGGAAAACGGTGTTTCAATGTGATACGGACATGCCACCTGAACTTTCAAGCTTACAGCTCTTGGTATTCCCATGCGGTCACCCATTTAGAAACTGACCAGGCTCGACGTTGGTTAACTTTAATGATAGTACAGAAACCTGTGATTCAACGTGGTATGACCATACCACCTGAACATTCAAGCTTACACCTCTTAGTATTCCCATGCAGTCACCCATCTAGGAACTGATTAGACTCAACGTTGCTTTACATCGGTGATCGTATGGAATCCGATGTTTCAACCTGATATGGCCATGCTACCTGAACATTCAAGCTTAAAGTTCTTGGCATGCTAATGCGGTCACCCATCTAGGAAGTGACAAGGCTCGGCGTTGCTTAACTTTGGTGATAATACAGAAAACGGTGTTTCAACGTGATATGGCCATGTCACCTTAACATTCAGCCTTACAGCTATTGGTATTCCCATGCGGACATCTAGGAACTGACCAGGCTCGACGTTGCTTAACTTCCGGTGATTCAACGTTATGTGGTCGTATGTCGAACAAATATGATAAAAGTCTCTGTGTGAATAATGTATTGTCCTTGTGTCCCATTTTGCTGCTGTGTATAACGATAGAAATAAATATGGCGGAAAAAGTTTGACACCCATTTCTGTTCTGCCATATTGGGCATTCGTCTCTCTGGTTCGGTAATCTCGGCGTAAGCACTCTTTCTCTTTTTCTGGCTTCCACAGTGGCATTAAAAATTAATAATTTACTTCTGTTGCCGTTGGATAAGTGTGAGAATGTTTCGGATGTGTGGGTGGATGTGTAGCTAAAGATAACGATAGATGATGTATGTGTTTTTATAGGAGTTCGTCTCTTACTCGTTTAACTCGACCAGCCCACGCTAACGAACAACATTCTGTAAGAACGAAATTCTTACTGAGATAACACGCTTTTATTATAACAATAGTGTGTATGGTTGCCAAAAAAAAAATGGAAGGAATGAAGGTAAAAAAAAAAAACTATTAATAATGAAAGACTACAATAATGATAAGTTTCTTCTACAATAAATGTAAGGGCTTCGGTTACTTGAAGCTTTTATGGCTAAAACGATTAGGGAGGTGACCGTAAAAGATTACATTTTTTTTTATTCTCTACGAAATCGTAACAGACTCAACGAAAGACACATTCCCAAAAATCAACAGACACAAACCCTCTCAGGTTCAAAGATTTAAATCGGCGGTTTACTTAAGCCGTCTCTCTCTCTCTCTCTCTCTCTCTCTCTCTCTCTCTCTCTATCTCTCTCTCTCTATTCCCCCCCACACACATATATATAAATATAGTAGTATAAGTATTTTTATTATAAGCTATTATAATAAAAACATATTGAAATCGATACACAAAAGCTTTCATGTTTCAATACTATGTGTGTACTTCTTCAGGCGATGGTATTGAAACATGAAAGCTTTTGTGGAGCGATTTCAAAATGTTTTTATAATAATCTCTTATAATAAAAATAACAATAATGTATTGCTCTACATTGTATTGAGCTCTTTTTTTTAAATGTAAATGCTACGAACTGTGGGATTTTACTCCATCTGTTATTTGTCTCAATTGTTTATATATATATATATATATATATATATATATATATATATATATATATATATATATATTTATTAAAGACATATTTTATGTTTAACGTTGTTATTTTATAGATACAAGTATTTAAGCAAATGCTCTGTTTATGATAAACAGTATTAAATAACATTTACCGGCCTGAATATACAAAATTTTCATGAAAATTTTCGTTCTTTATGAAATTCGAACATAGCGTCCTATACGGAACCGTCATATACGAGTCGTGCCTTTAAAATTTTGATGAGCTGACATTCAATATAGCGTATATTTAATACGGTTATCATAAACAGGATGCTTGTATCTATAAAATAACAACGTTAAACATAAAATATGTCTTTAATAAATAAATTGTCGGACCTTGTCCATTTCTTAATATATATATATATATATATATACACACACACACACATATATATATATATTATAATAAAGAGAAGAACAGTAAGATATAAAATCCGGTGTTCTTATTAATTATTTTATTATTATTATTTATTATTATTATTATTATTATTTCGAAACTAACTCATATTTTGATACAACAGTTGCCAGTAAAAATGAACACCCTACCACCTCTTGTCAAAATGATTGGATTTCCCCGTATCCTTAGAAAATAATATTATGAATGTTTGTGCTTAAAAAAAAAAACTCAGTAAATTTTAAAATAAGTTATGCCAAATTTCTCTTGAAAATGAAACAGGACTAGGGACTTTAATTTAATTCTATAACTTTTTAAGTTATCAGTTTTAGTTTCTGTTTTTGAAATATGGTAATTCTAGCGATGGAACCGTGTTTTTAAATAAGTAAATTTATAATATATATATATATATATATATATATATATATATATATATATATATATATATATATATATATATATGTATATGTGTGTGTGTGTGAGTGTAGTGCCATGATTGCTAGATTATCCAGAGTAAATTTGCTCCCAGGCTTTAATCATTATAACATTAATTGTCCCTGGCATATCTTATCAGAGCGTGGGATATCTCATCACAAAAGCGATGGAAACAAATGGAGACTCCAAATGTTATCGGCTACTTTATACGCACAAAATCTATTATCAAAAAATAATTTAAAATTCCTAGCTTTTGTGGTTTGAATTCATGTGTATACGCACTAACGTAAACAAATTTAGTCTGATGCATTCCTATAAAAAACTAAATAAGTGTTTTTGTGTGTGTGTGTGTGTGTGTGTGTGTGGTATCAAATGACAATTGGAAAAAAAATCTTAGATTTTGCCGACGCGTTTCGTCTTCCGACTTTTTCAAGACAAAAATGAATTCGAAATGTCCTCGTTGTTATAGTTACATTCAAAAATCCAAATTTAAAAAGATAGACGCTTCTGTCTAAGCCTTTTACTGGTTAATGTAAATTTCCTTTATACTAAGAGATTTTTTTTTCATGTCGACAATACAATTAAATTACCAGATTGATATATGTTTTCAAAAAAAGTAAACGGATTTTAATTTATTGATCCGAAATATTTAATCACTATATGCCATTTCTCGTGGCTATTCGTATTTAAGAAGACGCTATTTTCGTATATTGGCCTGATATATATATATATATATATATATATGTAATGATTATGAAAACGGAGACTTTAGAAACCCATAGTAATATTTTATTTCGCAAGACCGATTCCTCGGTCGCGTCTCATCAGACCAAGCATTTTCAACAATAAATGGATTCCATTTATTGTTTAAAATATTTAGCTCTCTTTGGACTTATATACTCTTTGGAACTATCCATAAAAATTATCAAATATTATTCTTATTTATATTCGTATATATAAGTTAATCTTTCCTTTTCTCTGTCGTGCACTGAAGGCTTAGGGGTAGGATTTCTGACTGAGGCGAAATCGGCTTCAAGCAATCGGATGTCTATCCATACTGCGATACAGCGAAACCGGGTTGCATGCAGATGACTATATATATATATATATATATATATATATATATATATATATATTAAAGACATTTTTATGTTTAACGTTCTTTTTATAGATACAAGTATTTAAGTAAATGCTCCGTTTATAATAAACAGTATTAAATAACATTTACCGGCCTGAATGTTCGAGAAATTTTCATAGAAAATATTCGTCCTTTGACAGGATTCGAACCTGCATCCTATACGGAACCGTCATTTACGTTGACGTGCCTTAACCGACTCGGCCACAAATGTAATAAATCTATACTTTTTAAGGTTGTATTGAAATGTTATTTAAGTTTCCACATGTCCTCCAAAATTAGCAATACAAAGGGTAATACGATTTTGCAGTTCACGGAAAACATTTGCCAACTTGTTTTCAGTAATGCCTGAAATCACATTAGTTATTTTAGATACACTTAAAACTAGGTACATTAAACTTTATAACATTTTTTCTACAGATTATTTCTATCGCAAATACAAATAAAGTTATAAATTATTTAAAGTGTACACGGACTTTATGAACACCTGTATAAATACACTTACACACATACATATATATTAACACAATTATACATATATGTACACACACACACACACACACACACATATATATATGTGTGTGTGTGTGTGTGTGTAAAAATATATAGAAAATAGGAAATAACTCGTTAGGTAAATAATCCAAAGTTCTTTACTATTTTTGTTAATATTTTAAAAAATAGTGCTCGATACAAAAGTAGAGCATAAATATATTATTATAACTATATAATTATAATTATATAATTATAATATATATATATATATATATATATATATATATATATATATATATATATATATATATATATATATATATATATATATATATATATATATATATATATCAGGACCAGTTTCTCTAGAGAAAACATTGTTCGAAAATCGTTCGCAAAATTTTATAAAAAAAGGTATCAAGTCTAAAATAGATTTTACCCGGTACAATCGAATTTGTTGACCTTCTTGTATGCTTATAAAATCTGCATTATTGTAAATAATTACGTACTCTTAAAACTGCCGCTTAGCAACGTTTAGGCCAATTTTTTTTTCATTTATTTACTTTTCTGTGTGTCAAAATATTTCTCTGAGAAACATTAAGAAATAGCCAATAAGGAATGCCGACCAAATTTGCCGAGAATTTTAACTGATCGTTCAGCATATCACCAGAAGTCTCCGGCTCATCGACATTGAAAGCCTCTTCTTCATTCTTTGAGCTGTCTTCGATGACATCCGGACCGGCAGATTCCAGACTTCCAAACAGCGTCTAAATAAACATGTTCTCTTAGCAGCTGTGTTTTATTGATTTAATGAGTGGATTTCCGAATAAGAATGTTGTCTTATCGCCTGGGCAACTTTTTCGTGTTTTCTCATGGCTTAATATTTTACTTAAAAAAAAAAAAAAAAATTGCATATAAAAATGTCGGCCTTTGAGTGTTCGGGTGCTTACGTCTGTGCTTGCTTGGGTGCAAATAAGATATGATTAAAAAAAAAAAAAAGATATAATTTAAAAAAAATGTTTAAAAAAAATACTTTCAGCACGTGTCTCTCGTCTCGGGGCAAACTAATTATAACCTGTTCGAATTTTACAGTGTTAATCAAAACACACAGAAATTCTAGATGCTATCGAAATGATCCGAGAACTTACAGCGTGAAATGGCCTTCTGAATGAAAGATAAACGAAAAAAAAAA